TCTCTAGAATTTGTTTTGAGATGTCAGGTCTCTGAAATCTCAGTCTGGGGCCACGGAGCCCTCTACAGTCTCCCTGGGCCACTCCCTGTCTCCCCGGGTCCCCTTAAGGTTTGGGAGGCCTAGGAAAGCCTGGAGAGAGGTATGCTGACCTGTTGGGACAAAATAGAGACAGGGTGTTGGTGGGAAGACTGTCTGCTGCCTGTGCAGGGGAAGGGCAGGGCGGGTGCAAAATAATCTCCCTGGAATGCAAGGGGACGGCGGGGAGGGCGTCTCCTGAGTGGAGGAGTCCCAGCGGTCCCTGGCCAGCTGGTGTCGCTTGCTTCCTTCCCTCCTCTCCCCGGCTGCACTGGCACGCCAGACTCTGGAGGGCACACATCCCCCACCTGAGGAGAAGGGATGGGTCCAGATGACCCCAACCTGGAGGACCTACGAGCCTGCAACCACCCCGTGGCCCCCGCCTGAACCCTTGATCCCTGGCCCTGCAGCCCCCGCAGCTTCCTGTTTGCCCACTCTATTTGTCCGGCCCCAGGGACAGAGCTGATCCTTGAACTCTAAGTTCCACATCGTCAGGACCAGTGAGCGGCAGCAAGGCCTGGGCTGGGCTTATCAGCCTCCCAGCCCAGCCCCTGCCTGGAGACATAAATAGGCCGGGAGAGCTGGCAGCTCAGAGACTGCTGGAGCCCTTGAGGTAAGTGCTGCCTTCTGAGGCTCAGGCTCTGGGGTCCTAGCACCAGACTGTGCCCCATGCTGGGACTCTGGGTTCCAAGAGCCTCTCCTCTGTGCCCTGCCCCCACCCCTGGCTAACGTGAGTGGGGGAGCCCTGGGCTCCTCCACGCTAGAGGCCAGCCCCGCTCAGCCAGGACCTTCTCCTCCAGGTCACCCACGTCCCTTCAGGATGAAAGCCGTGGTGCTGACCTTGGCCGTGCTCTTCCTCACGGGTAGGTACCCCCACCCCAGCCTCGAAAGCCAGCCTTTGGCTGGGGCCTGCTCCCTAAGCCCCTGTGGGCCACCCTCCTGGGCACAGGGAGCAGGGTTTCTCACATGCCCCTCTCCCCTGCCTCCAAGCCTGGCATTTCAGCTCTGATCCCCGGCCAGAGCTGGCCTGATCTGGGTCTCCCCTCTCATCTCCAGGGAGCCAGGCTCGGCATTTCTGGCAGCAAGATGAACCCCAGTCACCTTGGGATCGAGTGAAGGATTTAGCCACCGTGTACGTCGATGCAGTCAGAGATGCTGGCAGAGAGTATGTGGGGCAGTTTGAGACCTCCGCCTTGGGAAAACAGCTGAAGTAAGGACCCAGCCTGGGGCGGCGGTGGGGGCAGGGCCGGTACAGGGGCAGGGGGTTGCATTTCCAGGGGGACAGAGAGGCCTGTGGGGAGATGTAGCCACAATGGCCAGGTCACCTATTTCATGGGCCCCACAGAAGGCCTGGAACACAGGAATGGGATCCCCAAAATGACCATCATCTCAGAACTCATTTTAAGGAGAGTAAGATACAGTAGTGCCCCAGCAAGGGGCAGGTCTGTGCCGCCGGCTCAGCAATCACAGCACCTCTTGCCTGCAAGTGCAACCCAGCCCGGGTTCTTAGCTACCTCCAAGGCCTCTGCCCAGCAACAGGGGTGGCCATCTTCAGAGACGACGAGGGCCTGGGAGTGTGAAGACAAGGCCCTTGATGCCCAGCTTTGGGGCCAGGCAAGACTGGGCAGCAAGCCGGGCTCCGCCTCTACCAGCTCCTCAGTCCCTCCATACAATGGGATGCAGTGTGAGGGCGGGAGGCTGCCCCAGGGTAGACGGGGGTGTGGGGCAAGCTAGGCCGGGCTCTGCAGCCCCCCTCTCCAGGGCTGCGGCACATCGGGGACGGGTGCCGCTCAGGGCTCACCGCAGGTGGCCCTGGGGCTGGCCCGGGGAGGGGGGGTGCCTGGGAGGCCACCCCTGAGCCCCTCGGTCTCCTCACCTCGCCCCTTCAGCCTGAATCTCCTGGAGAACTGGGACACCTTGGGCAGCACGGTCACCAAGCTGCGCGAGCAGATCGGCCCGGTCACCCAGGAGTTCTGGGATAACCTGGAGAAGGAGACAGAGGCGCTGAGGCAGGAGTTGCACAAGGATCTGGAGGAGGTGAAGCAGAAGGTGCAGCCCTACCTGGACGAGTTCCAGAACAAGTGGAAAGAGGAGGTGGAGCTGTACCGCCAGAAGGTGGCGCCGCTGGGCACGGAGCTGCGCGAGGGCGCGCGCCAGAAGCTGCAGGAGCTGCACGAGAAGCTGACCCCGCTGGGCGAGGAGCTGCGCGACCGCGCGCGCACCCACGTGGACGCGCTGCGCGCGCAGCTGGCCCCCTACAGCGACCAGCTGCGCGAGCGCCTGGCCGCGCGCCTGCAGGCGCTCAAGGAGAGCGGCAGCGCCAGCCTGGCCGAGTACCAGGCCAAGGCCACCGAGCACCTGAGCACGCTCAGCGAGAAGGCCAAGCCCGCGCTCGAGGACCTCCGCCAGGGCCTGCTGCCCGTGCTGGAGAGCTTCAGGGCCGGCCTAATGGCCATCGTCGAGGAGGCCACCAAGAAGCTGAACACCCAGTGACGCGCCCGGTACCCGAGCGGCTCCCCCGGCCCTCCATCGGGTTCTTAGAATAAACGTTTTCAAAGCCTGTGTGGGGCCGCGTTGTTTTGTTTGCTGTGTTTTGCTGTTTTAAAGATTCAGTTGTGGTTTTTAAACAATAAAATATGCTCCAAAAACTATACATTCTTTTTTTGGGGGAGAATGGGAGCAAGGTGCCGGCGGCGGAGGGAAGGTCCCCGCACCAGGGCCTCTGGCCAGGGGTCGGGGAGCCCGGGCCCCTCGGGTCCCCGTGGGAGGCCCAGCCGCAAGGATGGGGTCGTGGATGGAGTCCCCTTCCCAGGGAGGCACAAACAGAAAGGGAATCACAGGGGACCCAGCAAGGCAACAGACGGTGCGACGCTGAGTACCCTAAACAAACCAACAAGAACCGCAGCCCTGTCCGGGGAGGAAACGGCTGGCTGTGCCGGGAGAAGTGGGCTCCGGTGGGTGGGGGTGCTCCCCCCAGGCCAGGAGCCTCCGCCAGCCCTCTGGCTGTAGGCCGGCTGGGGCTCGAGTCGCCCCTGGGGCGGGGAGGATTCGGGCAGGCTCAAATGCAGAGCTTAGCCTTTGTTCCTTTCTCCATGATGAAATTCTAAAAATGCGGAAACAGACGCTTCCCTTTTCTTTTTTCATAAGGGCAGCGAGCCACTCCTCAAGGGTCCTGCCCTCTCCAGAAACAGCGGATGTTTCCTCCAGCACAGCTGTGTAAACCAGGCCTCCCACCCTCGGGGCTCCAAGCCTGAGTCAGAACAATCGCCCCCACCTAATTACAGGTAATTAGCCCACTTTCATTTCAGTCCGTTGTCTCCGTCACCTCACTGCGTCCTTCCCCGAACCCTGGGTAGACCCGCAGCTACACCCACGGTACCTGTGACATAGCTGAACCTTGAAGTCACAGGCCACGGCTGCAGAGCAGGGTGGGCTGGGTTGCCCTTTTCAGACACATCCTGGGTCTTTTTTAAAAAGCGTGTGGCCAGGCCTCCAAGCTCACACGGCTGTGCACACGCGCACGCACATTCTCCAGCACACACCCCTGTCTGCAGCCCGCCCTGCTTCACACTCAGGTGCATACCCCAATGCTCGTGCCCAGATGCACAGATCAAAGATCTGGGCAGTGCCCTGATGGAGCTTTCCCTACCGTCTCCCTCAGGGCCTTCTGCGCCCTGCCCCTCCCCCATCTCCAGGGTGTCTTACAAACTTTTGGTTAAAGCAAGTGGGCGGTTTTAGTTTCTGACCATCCAGAGCCGTGATAGGCGTCAAGCCCAGATCTGGGTGAGAGCACTTGCCAGGTGTGGGTGCTGGGATCCCTGGCCCGCTTGGGCCAGAAGAGAAGCCCGGGTGGATTTCCAAAGAGAGCAGAAGTCTCCAAGTGGGGCCGGAGGTACTGATGTCAGCAAGATCTGCCGAGGAGTCCTCTGACACCCAGCATAGGACTAACGAGTATTTTTCTGTGTCAGCTGAGCAGAATATGAGCAGCTAATCTGAGCTCGAGGTCTGGCTCTGCCGTTTGCCCATTCTTTGACATTGGGCAAGTGCCTTCACCTTTCTGAGCCTCGGTTTTTTCCTTGGAAGAGCGAGGGCCTGCCCAAGTAGTCTGTGGCTCCGGAACTCCCTGACGTGAACATCTGTTGGGTGGTGGGGACACAAGGGAAACAGCCTCTCTCGGGTAACTTTGGGTTCCTCCTTAGTTCCTAAGATGCTGGATTCCCCGACTCCCGTTCTGGTCCCAAGGGAAAATCAGCTCAGCCTATAGCAACAATGACCATTTACAAGGTAATTTGATGCACCAGGTGCTGCACACAGCCTCGTTTCATTCATTCATTCATTCATTCATTCATTCATTCAACAAATCCACAGTGGAGATGGTATTGTTATACCCACTTTACAGATAAGAAACCGAGGCTGATACATAATGATGGCCCCAAAACCAGAGCCTAGTTGTATCTTACTCCAGCCACTCCCTATTCACCTCCTTCCTTCAAGTGCGGCTGAGAGGGCCAGGTGGCCTGGGTAGCGCAACTCTGCTCCATAATTATGGTGAACACTCAGCAGTGCAGATGACGACATAAAAGTGCAAGGCACGGTGCCTGGTGCAGATCACACGCTCAAGTCATGGCGCACAGCAGTTGACCTTTCATCAAAGTGTCAAACCTCTTACCCCATTGGCTCCTCCACACGAGCCTGTGGAGGCAGAGTTCTGCCTCCCTCTGTGTGATGAAGAAACGTGGGCCAGACACCGCCTGACTGCTAGGAGGTGGGTGGCGCACAGGTCCCACGCCCACCCATGGCAGAGCCCTGGCCCATTTCCACGCGCAAACATACAAGACATGCGTGGGACGCCCCACTCGTGGCAGCTTGTCATCCAGCTTTATTGGAAGGGCAGGGGGCTTGGGGGGAGGCTAGGTCTGGGGCGGGGTGGGGTGGGGTGGGAGGGGAGAATGCTGTCACTTTCAAGTGACTTTTGGGACAGCCCAAGGAGGCGGCAGGATGGATGGGCAGGAAGACGTGGTGTGTCAAGGCTCAGGTTTCAGAGGCTGGCGTTGGTCTGACCGCAGAGGTGGAGTCCCAGAGCCCAGAGAACTTGCCTGTGAGCGTGCTCCAGTAGTCTTTCAGGGAGCTGAAGCCACCGGTCACCCAGTCCCTGAGGGTTAAGTCAGTAAGGGGAAGCAGTGGAGGGGGGGTAGGAGCTCATGTGAAGGCGGCGGGGCCCCTGCCGTCTCCTCACTGGCCCTCCGCCCACCCTCTCAGCCTCATCCAGCAGCGCCCCTGACACCTCAGGCGGAGACCCTTTCAGCCGTCACTTCCTGCAGAAGAGATGCTGGAGGGGGTGACGGGGCCCCAGCACAAGTCCAGCTTGTTTCTCCAGGTTGGGGCGGACCGCTGTGCCACCATGGGCACATGAGGCAGGCCAGAGGGGAGGGATGGGGTGCGAGGTTTGTAAAGCCTGGGCTGTCATTCTATTCGAGGCAAATGATGCCCGCTCGGGTTGTACAACCTGGCGGCTCTGAGTAGGGTGGGGCAGAGGGAAGCAATCTCCGATCAGGAAAATCATCAGTGGATGAATTAGCTGTGTGATCTGGGGGGAGTCACTTAACCTCTCTGAGCCTCCATTTTCTCATGTGCAAAATGGCAAGAATAATACGCCCTCCACGGCCGGTTCTGAGGACTGTGGAATTCTGTGAGTGCCTCAGCTCTGTAAATGCTGGCCGTCTCCCCGGGGGGGTGCAGAAGGGAGCAGGGGAGAAGAGAGGACTAGAAGGCAGGGCAGAATGGGAGAGGAAGCACAGACGTCTGTTCACACTGGCCCCAAGTCTTGGCACAAGGCAGAAACACACACACACACACACACACACACACACACACACAGGCTGAAAATTGGATTGGGTGGGGCCATGGAAGCCAGAGCCAAACAGGGCCCCCTTAGGGCCGTGCAGGGTACCTATAGGAGAAGGGAGGGCCCACGAAGGGAGAAGAGGCCAGGAGGGGAGGAGGAGGAAGGAAGGATGCAGAGCCGCCTCCTCCATCTCTGCAGCCCGAGAAAGCCCCGGGAGGGCCCAGTTCCAGAGACCAGAGCACAGGAGGCTCAGGCAGGCGCAGGTCCTGGTGAATGTGGGGAAGCCACGGCCCCACTGCTGGGCTCTCCTGGGTCAGGGGCGGGAGGGGGCCGGAGCCGGCGCTGAGCAGGGAGACGTGAGGGCGTACCTGGCCTGCCGGGCCACTGGGAACTCCCGCACGGTGGTCAGCGTGTCCTGGGCCGTCTTGGTGGCGTGCTGGACATACCCCTGCATAAGGCCCAGAAGGGAGGGGTCCTCCGCCTCTGTAGCTCCTGCCGGGAGAGCAGGGTGGAGTGAGATAGACTGGCCTGTGGGGAGCCCTTGGCTTCGGCCCAGCCACCGGCCAGGGCCGGGTTCCTCAAGTCATTCCCAGGTCCTCCGGGCAGAGGACCCACCCCTCCCGATCCCTAGCCCTGTCCCCACGAGCTGCTTACGGGCGGAGGCCAGGAGCACCAGGAAGGCGGTGACAAGAAGGACCCGGGACTGCATGGCACCTCCGTTCCTGTGGGGAAGTGTGTTGAGAGAGGTACCCCAAGCACCCTCCCCCCCCCCCCCGCCCCGGGTCCTCCCTGGGGAAGTGGTGCTGTCCCTGCCGTGGATCCTGGGCTGGGTCAAGCCAGGAGGAGAAAGAGGCTGCTGCCGCCTACCCTGGGAGGCGAAGGGCTTTCAGCCAGGGGCCTCGGGCACAGCCGGGCTGGGAGAGAGCGCAGCGTCGGAGCCAGAGCAGAAAACCCACCAGACCAGGAATCGAGGCATTCTGGCCTGGTTCCTGTGTGACTTGGGGTAGATTTCTGTCCCTCTCTGGGCCTCCGTTTTTCTGTCTGGGGTAAAACTGGGGTCTAAGGCTTCTTCCAGGCCTAAACGCGCAGAGTGAGGGCAAGTGTGCAGATTTGGAGCCAGTTCTGGTCCCTGCTGTGCCACTAGGTTCTGTGTCGCTTTGAGCCAGTGCCCTTGCCTTCCGTGAGCCTCGGTTTCCCCCAGCATGCAACTGGAGGTGCGGGTCGCTGCTCTAGCCCCGGGGCTTCCTTGGCTCCAGTAAGCTCTTCTCCAGTCTGTGCTGGCGGGGACCGCCCTCTGCCCCTCGCAGTCCTGCTCTCTTTCCCTTCCACTCCCCCTCCCCAGTAGGCATTACCTGGAGCAGCTGTTTCTTGGGATGAACTGAGCAGGCAGACCTGAGTCTTCTGACCTGGTTTATATTGTCTCCAGGACAGCGGGCACAGAGGGCCCAGTGAGCCGGACAAAGGTCACCTGCTGATCAGTCTAGACCAGGGCCCGAGGCAGCGTGCCCAGACGCAGCCAGGCCTGCTGGGAGAGTTGGGAAATCTCGAGGCGCCCACACTGGTCTCCTGCCACCCCTGTGGCCCAGAGGGGGCCAGGGACTAGGGGTACCCCACTTCTTCCAAGCAGCCTGGCTCCCCAGGGAGAGGCATCAAGGGACAAGCCGGGGGTCACTGCCCCCCCCCCACAGCCCTTCCCACATGCCTTTCAGGTCCCTCCCCGCACCCCGCCCCTTTGGCCCTGGAAGCAGCCTGGAAGGGGTGGGGGCTGGACTGAGAAGCTGACGAGCTTCTTCAGGCCTGGGAACAACTCAGTATTGGGGTGCGGTGTCTGGAGTGAAGTCACCAAAGACCTGTGGCTTGTGTGGGGAGCGGAGACACAGTTGACTCCACACAGCCCCCTCCCCAGCTAGGCCCACGGCCTTTGGCCCACCCTTTCTCCCCCCCTCGTTGTCTCCTTGCCCTCTGGACCCGCTGATAACACTCCCTGGGGCAGGAGCTGGGGCGCCAGGCTCGGGCCCTCCCCAAACAGTGACAGTGGGGGGTGATTTCTGGCTCTGAGCACCGCTCACCTGGGGCCTCGGTTTCCCCAGCGCTCACAGCAGCCTGGACGGCGGAGCTGGAAGGGGCGGAGGTTGTGGCGCGGCCAGTGCGGTGGGGAGCGGGGACAGAAGAGCTCTGCGGGGGCTGTCCACGAGAGTCCTCGGGCCTTCCTCGGGTGAGGTGGCCCTGGGCCCACGACGGGAGCCATCACCTGGATAGCAGGATCGGGGAGACTAAGACCCTGGAGCCAAGAAATCCCAAGTTCAAACGATGCCTGAGGCTCTTAAGTCATGTGACCCAGGAGCAGAGACCTAATACCTCAGAGCCTCAATCTGCTCCTCTTGTAAAAGGGGGTAGAATGCCGATATGCCAAGAGTTGTGGTAGAAAGTAAATGAGATAATGTACAAAGCAACTGGTTCATGGAACAGGCTTGATAAATCTTTTTTCCTCCCAAACACCTTGACCGCCCCTAGACGGCATAGTCCGGAAGGCAGGAGGAAATAGGGCTTTTGGCAGGCAGCCATCTTCCCGGGAAGACGCAACAAAGCCCATGGTGTGAAATCAGAGGCCTGAGAAAGTGGTCTGGCTCCACCCTCAGAATTCTTTAGTGTTTGCTAGGACTTGAAATTTCTCCATTAGAAATTAATTTCTCTGACTTAGATCTTGTATTCTATTAAAATGCAAATAGATTCCTATGAAGTGGATATTAATAACCCCATTTTGTAGCTGACAGACCTAAGGTTCAAAGGGGTAGAGATGTACCCAGACACACATAGCCCATCACTGGTAGTTCTGGGAACCAGAATCCAGGTCTTCAAACACCAATACTGGTTCCAAACAGCTCGGAGCGATGAGACCCTTGGAGATTTATCGTTCACTCAAAGCTTAGAGTAGATCAGTTTCAGATCTCTTCCTGAGCACAGACTTTGGTGACGGGGTGGGGAAGAAAGGAAGCTGATGAGGTCACTGTAGGATCTGAGCACAGGGGAGGGTAGAGAGCAACTGCGCCCACGTTACTCTTCTGTCCTAGCCTGTCCCTCAGCCCCAGAGGCGAAGGCCGCAGTGGGAATCCAGGTTCCAGGCTGGGTTGGAGTACAGAGTCCTCAGCCCCTGGGCCTGCTAGAATGGGCCGGCTGGGTCCCTTCACCCTGGGCCCTCCAACTCCCTTCCCCTGTGTGTGTGGGGGGGTGGGGGGGCTCTGGAGGACCCTATCCTCTCTCTCCAATGTGGCAATGGGCCCCTGGGGCCAGGGAGGTCAGAAGATGGGGACGGAGAGACCGAGCGGGTGGTGCTGAGCTGGGTAGAGGACCCAGGGGTGCGGGCCCATGCAGCAGGGGCGTGGCATGCCGTGAGTCCTGGGACTTTTTCTCTTTCAAAGGGCTGGGCGCATTGAGTGCCCCTCCTGGCAGCTCCGGCTTGGGTCTTGGTAGGGGTGTCTCAGGAGGGGCCCTCTCGGGGGCCAGCCTAAGCTGCCCCTCTCTCTTTTCTCTCTCTCTCCATCCCACGCTGGCTCCTGGGATGAGGTGACTGCTCCGGGCCTGGCCCACAGACTGGCTCTAAGGAGTCACCAGCCATGGTGAGGAGGGGGCGGATGGAGGCCTGACCAGCTGGGGCCCAAGCTGGCCCTCTGGGGTTGGGCTGACTCTCTCAGCTTACTTGCGTCAGGGCGAGGCCTAGCACACAAGCCTCTGCGATCCATGCCCCTGCCATTAGGCTGGATGGGGAGCCCCGATTCAGCCCTGCCGGCCAGGGGATCCGGGTCGCCATGCCTCTCCACGCTGGAAGTCCCTCTGATTATCTCACTCAGATCCTTCCTATAACAATAGCAGGAGCTACCCTTCTTTAATGCTGCCCTGGGAGGAAGGCCAGAGAGAGCATCTGTGGGGAATGTGTCCATGTGGCATGCCTGTCCCCGGCTGGTCCTCAGCTCTCCCCTCCTGACTCAGAGCTCTGGGCTGACCCCTGGTTTTGTCCTTCTGGGTGGACGGGAGGGTGGCCCCGGGCTGGACTTGCAGCCCCATCGTGTTACCAACCACTAGGGCTGTGTTGCACAGACCAGGAGACTGAGCACACAGAGGGACACGGTTTGCCCGGCATCACGTGGGCCCCTGAGTCTGCCACTGGGGCTGTCCCCTGTGTCACGGGGCCGGGCCCTGCTGGAGAGGCCAGCGTCTGGGCCCAAAGAGAACCAGAGGCCCAGCCGGAGGCAAAGTCGGCCGCTTGAACGCCGTGAGGCCGGGCAGCCAGTCTTCTCCCGCTGCCGGTGCAGATCGGTTCACAGGGCGATGCAAAACGTGCCCCCTGACTTGGGGAGACGTCTGCGTTCACCAATGGCACCCACCCCCGACACGCCAGGGAGCAGCACACCCTCCTCGCGGTTGTGGCTGCTCGCACAGGCCTGCACCAGTCCCTCCGCGGGATGCCTTAGCTCCGTGCGCACACTCATGTGATCTGCACGCTTATGTGAATCTGTGCACGGCCAGGCAGGTGCTCTCACACATGCTCCACGAGGTGCAGACACCCCCGGTGTGTGTCCGCCCAGGCAAGTGAGACAGGACCTGTCACATGCTGGTGGCACCTGCTGTTTACACCCTAAGTCCAAGAGGTCAGACTGCAGCGGAGGTGTCCTTGGTGACTCATTGCTCTTTTCATCTCTGGCCCCAGGGGAGGGGCTGGGGCCACTGAGCACTGACCTTTGTGCCCACCTGAGACTGGACTGTGCCCGACTCGGGAGCAGGAAGAGGAGCGATAGGTCGGTGTGGCAGGGAGGGAAGGTGAAACGTGGCCAGTGCTGTTCCCTGACACTGTTCCCAGCGTGACACAGTCTCATTGAGTCCCATGCGCAGCTGAGGCAGCTGAGACTCAGAGATTAGGAGATGTGCCCGAGGTCACACAGACAGTGAGTGGGGAACCGAGACGCAAACCCAGGGAGCCCGACTCCAGAATCTGAACCCTTGACCACTACTGCCAGACGGGGAGAGCTGCTCCAGGAAGGCGGGGCTCCCAGAGACTGGAGGCGACCGTGGCGGTGTGGGCACACGGCCGGGTGCAAGCGGCCCAAGGCCTTTTAGTTGTCTTCAGTCCCATGAGGCAGACGTCAAGCCACTTCTGGAATATGAAAAACGGAGGCCCGATAAGTCAGGGTCAACATAACCGGGGGCTATTGTGGTGGCTGGTGGCCAGGAGTCCACCCGTGTGCCAGGCCCTGTGCTCCCGGATCAGAGCCACAGGGCAGTGGGAATGAGTTTCATCTCGCAGTCACTGCACGCGGCATGGTCCAGCAGAGGGGCCCACGCGAACCAGGCTGCGTCACCTTCTTGATGGATGGCTTACTGTAATTGTGTGTACGGCCTGTTTGTAGAGAGCGGTAGAAGTCCTATAGAAGACCTCCTGCCCCCCACCCCCCAGCCCCAGTGAGAAGCCCCCCAAGAGGGTGAGGTCCTGCGATTCGGCACAGGCTGACTAGTCCCATCCAGAGAGGGCGGCCAAGCTTGGGGGCTGCTCTCCCTGCATCATACACCCCGCGGGGACTCCCAGAGGGCTGGGCCAGACTCTGCCCTCTCTCTGGAGGGATGAGCATTCTCCTGGACCCCCTTCCAGGCCCAAACCAGGAAACCAATATTATTATTAATAATGACCAGGACTGTGTAGTGCTTATTCTGAGCCAGGCATTATACCCGTAACATGAGCAAGATCTAATTTATTATGCCCAGCAACCCCATGTTTCAGAGGAGAAACTGAGGTTCAGAGCTTGGCCAAATTGAGTCACTTGGCCAAGGTGGCACAGTTGGGCAGTGGCAGGATACAAAGCACACTTAAAATTAACCCTTTCAAGAGGCACCTGGGTGACTCAGTCGGTTGAGCGTCCGACTTCGGCTCAGGTCATGACCTCGTGGTTTGGGAGTTCGAGCCCTGTGTTGGGCTCTGTGCCGACAGGTCAGAGCCTGGAGCCTGCTTCAGATTCTGTGTCTCCCTCTCTTTCTGCCCCTCCCCTGCTCATGCTCTGTCTCTCTGTCTCTCTCTCAAAAGTGAATGTTGAAATTTTTTTTTAATCAACCCTTTCAACACAGGGCTCTGCCCACTCCCCTCCTCCTGGGGGCACCTTGACCAGAGCTCTAGATCTTAGCTTGCCGTCCCTGTCTGTGACTCTGGGTGTCCCAGTCCAGTGTCTGGTGCTCTGAGATAGAGTCAGTTTGGGGAATGTGTGGGGTGGGGGGACTCTTTCCCCTGAGGCAGACAGAGGAGGTGTGAACTTTACCCCCCAAACCTGGCTCAGACCCAGAATCGCCAGCAGGGCCCCTGGGGCATCAGTCCCTCCCTGGCTCAGGTTCCCTGGGCCTCCTTCCCCCCACAGCTCACGGCTCCCCCGCCCCCCACTTCGTGCTGGGTGG